TCCAAAAATAAATCCAGGAAACTTTCTTCTACAGCGCAATTCATTATCGTCATCGTCACCGTCATCATCATAACCAAAATTATCCTCATCACCATCATTATCGTGAAAAAACGAATTTTGTGCAAACGTGTTAGAATGTATGTCTAGCTTAGGATCATATGCAATCCAAGTGATATGAGGATAGGATTATTGCACTGTATCATAGGATTATTGCAGTGATCATAGGATTATTGCAGTGTATCATAGGATTATTGCAGTGTATCATAGGATTATTGCAAGTGTATCATAGGATTATTGCAGTGTATCATAGGATTATTGCAGTGATCATAGGATTATTGCAGTGTAAAATTCATAGGATTATTGAAGTGTATCATAGGATTATTGCAGTGTATCATAGGATTATTGCAGTGTAAAATTCATAGGATTATTGCAGTGTATCATAGGATTATTGCAGTGTATCATATGATTATTGCAGTGTATCATAGGATTATTGCAGTGATCATAGGATTATTGCAGTGTAAAATTCATAGGATTATTGCAGTGTATCATAGGATTATTGCAGTGTAAAATTCATAGGATTATTGCAGTGTATCATAGGATTATTGCAGTGTAAAATTCATAGGATTATTGCAGTGTATCATAGGATTATTGCAGTGTACCATAGGATTATTGCAGTGTATCATAGGATTATTGCAGTGTATCATAGGATTATTGCAGTGATCATAGGATTATTGCAGTGATCATAGGATTATTGCAGTGTATCATAGGACTATTGCAGTGTATCATAGGATTATTGCAGTGTATCATAGGATTATTGCAAGTGATCATAGGATTATTGCAGTGTAAAATTCATAGGATTTTTGCAGTGTATCACAGGATTATTGCAGTGTATCATATGATTATTGCAGTGATCATAGGATTATTGCAGTGTATTATTGCAGTGTATCATAGGATTATTGCAGTGTAAAATTCATAGGATTATTGCAGTGATCATAGGATTATTGCAGTGTATCATAGGATTATTGCAGTGATCATAGGATTATTGCAGTGTATTATTGCAGTGTATCATAGGATTATTGCAGTATATCATAGGATTATTGCAGTGTAAAATTCATAGGATTATTGCAGTGTGATCTAAATCAAAATTCACTCATAAACCATAGATAAGCTGGGAACCGATGAACGAGATTATGCTTTGTTGATGTTTATATTCAGCAATGAAACTATATATTTCATATTTCTGAAAGTTGGGAACATATCTGATAAGCTACTAAAGTTCATGGATCGGAAATTGTAAAGGCCACAAGAATACAAACTTATATCGATTCTTTTCACACCAATCTCTGCTTTGTTGTCGATACAAATTTGAATGAGTTAGACAATATTTAATCTTAACCTGAGATGACAACTCTGTGACTTTAAATCTAGTTAAGAATACATGTGATATTTTGACACCCAGATATAAACTTTAGAGACATGTTTGTGTATTTCTGTAATATCACATGACGACAAGATTAAAATTCCCACGCTTCTAGTTCCACCTAAAAAGTGCGAGTATTAGTACATTCTCAGTTTAAATGTTGAATTATCATGAAATTCTAAAGTCAAAACAGATTCAAGCTTTATTTAAAATGTTACTACAAATATGATTCGGTTCTTTTATAATTTAAAACAAAAATAATCTTCCTCTAGATTATTTTCAGCCCAAGCGCTCAAAACCCATGTCAAAGCAGGTAGTCTCTCTCTCTCTCTCTCTCTCTCTCTCTCTCTCTCTCTCTCTCTCTCTCTCTCTCTCTCTCTCTCTCTCTCTCTCTCTCTCTCTCTCTCTCTCTCTCTCTCTCAAAACAAAGCCACACTGGAATGTACTCATGCCTAGGTCTTTCCTCAAAGCTCTCCAGCCAGAAAAAGCACATTCGACAAAATAAGTCCTTTCGTCTGTAAATGAAATGGCCGAGGATTTTATTGTTCTCTGAATGAAATGAATTAGATAGCCTATTTTATCAGAATACAGTTAGTCAAATGTTAATACATTTATTTGGAACAGTAAACTGTTCATAGAGAATACAGGCGCAGAGATGATACAAAATAACAGAAGACCTGGTTGTTAAGTCGCGTATCCTCATATGGCATAGTCTAACCCTTCACATCGTCACTAGGCATCGGTTTCAGGCAAATTAGCTTTTGTGAAATTGGACACGCCATACTGCGTAGGTCACGTCAAGGTCCTACTGGTATCCGACATAACAGCATAAGCAATTCCGGGTATGGATAATTTACAAAGAGTTAAGGCTATTTCAGTAATAAGAAACCAAGCAGGGATTCTGAAGAAATAAGCTGAAGGAAATAAGAATTTTAAAACAATTGATGACTGTGGAAGCTTGATTCCACGACCTGGACAACTTTTGTGCCTGGATATGATATTTTCGGATGAACTTTGATCCGGAATAGACGAAACAACAATAGATGTTAAGCTGAGGCTGACAAAATTTACTTGTAGATTATACAGTTGTCTAAGACTTATATGGAATCGACATTCCATTATCAAAATAATTACGAATATATGACGGGTTTGCCAGAAAATGCAGTTATCTAAAAAAAGCAGAATACAATGATCGTGAATTCTTTTGGCAAAAAAGAATTTTCAATAATAAGGTCAGATCCATCAGATGTAGAAACCTATGGACTCCACTTAGCACTGCAGAGGCAATTGCAACAAATGGTGGTTGATCGCATACATTATTGACATTTGTCTTCCAGGACGAGTTAAAACGACGAAAAGAAATTGCTTAAAGGACATTGTAAGACTCGTGACAAATGTCAAAGAACACCAAGGAAGCCCCTAAATGAGAAAACTCCATGGTGTGTCTATGTCTTTTGTTAAGATTGGAGTAGACATCGTCGGCCTACTAGAGCGCACAAAGGCCTGGAATACATATATATGGGAATGCATTTATATAAACTATCGATGACGAAGCTATCCGTCATCCGTAAGCAAAATTAGAAGTTGTACTGGTGTACCAAAGGTTCTTATTCCAGATTTCTCCAACGGATCTACAAAATATTGAACATTCATCTTCTTGCAGGATATTTTAGACTTAATGGCACACCCAAAGATGTCTAGAAATACCTGTCTTCTATAGGTTGTCAAGAGGGAAATGTGATGCTGTCTTATGCAGTTTTGCTACATATAGGTACCACACGAGAGTCTGGTTTGAGTTGTTTTCGTTTGAGTTGTTCTTGGATTGGTCAGTGAGAGGGTAAGTCCAGATTCCTAAGGATATATTGGCATTTGAGGATTTGTCATAGAGTCTGGTTGACCAATGTTAGCGAGATAGTAAAATAAATTAGGCTAACTCATGGTAAGACAAGAATGCTACCAGAGTGAATTTAGTCATGGCGTGGATTGTATTAGAATCGTCAAAGATGAAGGTTCACAGGAAGGGGTCGTGTGGCCTTGTTGTCTCCTTAATCAAAAAAATCATCGTTGGTGATATGCGAGGACTGATTAACCAATTGTGTCAGTACAAGTGGATGCACTTTAAAAGCTATTGCGTGTGGCGGCGAAGTTGATGACGAATGTTAAAATGACATCCCATTATCTAATACAAAAGACGTATCGATGCCTTTTGTTCACTTTGGACCCGACCCATGAGTGGAAGGCTTAAGAGAAAAACTTCAACACCCGGTACGAAAACTATGCTGTGAGTCCGAAAATGTGCTAACATTCAAGCCAGGTGAAAGCAACGTGATTACGAAAGAGACTGGAAGAACAACAGAAATCCCGATGTTGTAGATATGGTATACCCCGTGCAAAGAGTTCCAATGAAACTACTGAATCCTGGACGAAATGATGCAGCGAGGATATACTAGCTTGAAAAAGATGGAAATATAGGACATTGTGTTGATTACAGGGAATCTAAGCTTTCTGATGCCAGTCCTATTCAAAGAACAAAGAAACTCTTCCGATGTTCGGAACGCTATATACAGTGTCAAGCTGGCCCCGGCAGATACCCCTGTCAAAAGAAATTAAATTAAATCGGCAGTCGCGAGACCGATATTCATTTCCGGATACCAGATTTTCACGTATGATGGACTTGCTGTTGTCTAGGTTACGTGATGTTGCATCATACATTGATGACTCCAACAATTTTAGCGAAAGTCCGCATGAGCATCTTCTGGATCTAAGATAAGTCTTCGAGAGTTTGCGAGCTAAACGTTTTCACAGTCACACTATCCAAATCTAATATTGGATATCACACCTTAGTTTCCATATGTCACATTGTCTCTATAGGACAAATGAAGTCGGACAAAGCCAAGGTGAAAACCATGGTTGACTTCGCATTCCCTACAACAAGTAAAGACGGTCGATCTGTTCAGCGAATGGCTAGATATAGCATATCATACAGCATTAAACATGACTTTTGCTGAGCTATCGACTTCCACCTTATAACACAACAAAAATAGTCCTTTTTTCTGAGTTTATCGCCAGTTTTCAGTGAAAGGTGAAAAACTTGCAAAGAAGTACCCATCCTTGGGAAGCTACTGACCCGAGACTCAAACCCACACGGATGAGTTATGAGTGATCTCTGAAGGTGAATGCTTTAGACCACTCGGTCACAACATGGCCAGAAGAACAAAGAAGTGATGTGATGTGATGTGATGTGATGTGATGTGATGTGATGTGATGTGATGTGATGTGATGTGATGTGATGTGATGTGATGTGATGTGATGTGATGTGATGTGATGTGATGTGATGTGATGTGATGTGATGTTGATTTTTAACGTAGCTTTAACAATTTTTCAGTCATATCGCTACGATGTCTGCAGTGTGGCAGTTTATAGCGATGTTTAGCACTGGGCATCATGCCGCAGACATGTAGAATGATGTCCCACCCAATCACATTATCCTAGTACCAGGCCGACCAGTCCTAACACTAAACTCTTAATGCTGAGCGCCAAGTGAGGCAGCTGTAAGTACCATTTTTGTAAGTCTTTTGTATGACTCGACCGGGTTTCAAACCCACGACCTCCCGCATCCGAGGCGGGCGCTCTAACCATTAGGCCACCGGAGCTGTTAACTAAACCGTGTTTTTATATATGAGAATGTAATTAAGTCATATAATGACTTTGAGAATTCTTACAAATGTACCTGTCGTCCGCGTGGGTTCGATTTTCAGTTCGGCCAACGTGAATATGAGATAAAACTTGCCAGCGGCTCCTCTTGGGTGGGTGGTTCTCACCGAGTTCTTCGCTAAGCATAATCTATCATGCACTGAAAAAGAAACTGGCGTTACGAGATATAGCATCATTCTTTTTGAGTCCCAATTTGTATTGCAAACTGACGCAAGTGATGCGTGCATTGCAACTGTCTTGTACCAATATGGTGACACTAAGGATAAATATCTAAATGCATTACATGGCCGTCGAATGTTACCCAAGGAGCTGAATCATTAGACAATTGAGGGAAAACAATGCCTTCCAATAGAATTGACGAATGAATCTATTCAGAACTACTTATGCTACGTTCCATTCGGTGTGAAACTGACCATAACCCGCTGATTTTTTTAAGCCAAAAGCAAATAATAATATCTGAGGCTTTTGAAATGGTTCCTATTTCTGCGAGTTCATAGAACACAGAGACGGGATCTGATAATTCCAGTACAGATGGGTTGTCACGTGCATCATTCTAAGATTCTGCGTTTTATTGTTTATTCCTCTTAAAATTATCCAGGCAAAGGTCCATGATCTTGAATGTGTTATAACTTTGCCAAATTGTTTATACTGTTGAGGTAGTGAAGTTATTTTTTATGTGGATCAGTTAGATATAAAGTCACTTTAACAATCCTTTTAATGGGTCTTGTGCAAACTGTTCTACATGGGATAAACAAATTCTTCGTGATTTATTTGAATGCTTACATTGTAATTGGGATAAATTACATTATATTGCATAAGACTATAATTGTCAGAGCGATGCTAAAGCTTTTAAATTCTATGGAATATGGTAAATCAAGATATAATACCGGCAACTTGTGAGTCATCAAACTTTCCTATTCCTATAATTTTGTTCAGAAACTAAAGGTATCTCTCAAGGGGTAAGGTGTTGCCGTCCAAGTTATTCTGTAACGCGTGTGTACAAGTTATTACTTAAATACTTATTAGTAAAAGGAAAGTTACGGCTGTATACGGTATGTAGATCAAATCTGACCCAAATTTCCAGGCTGGAATGTAGGATTTGGGTCTGAGGCCTGTCATCACAATAAAGGCAAATAAAATTAATATTTTGATTTTGATATGAAACATGACCGTTGATAATCTTCAGCACTAGTGTAAAACATGAGTCTGCTTTATACAAGGCCAGTCTAGCAGTGATACATTTGTATGAAGATAACATTTTAAGGAAATTCTACTTTTCTGTCGTATGCCAATTCACCCCCCTCTCTCTCTCTCTCTCTCTCTCTCTCTCTCACACACACACACACACACACACACACACACACACACGCGCACGCGCACAGACTCTGCCGCAATAGAAACAAGACAACCAAGCCAATATGTGTTAATATGAAGAAAGATACTTATGTACGCGTTGGCAGAGCTCTGATTTGCAGAACCACAATGTGGACGAAGGAAGATAATCTATATATCAGCTTAAATCATTGTATATCCCAGATTAATATTGGGTACATAATCTACGTTATTAAGACTGTCACTTTCCATATATATATATATATATATATATATATATATATATATATATATATATATATATATATATATATATATATATATATATATATATATATATATATATATATATATATATAGGCGTTTAAAGTTTTGGTATAAAGCATTACGATATACCATTGGTATACTATTGGTATATCAAATTGTGATCCTCCCATACGCAACAATACGCATATATATAAACATTAGTACTGCATGATGTTAATTCTAGATCAATAAATTAATGATGCATTTCCACTCACTTATCATTAGTGAGTATGAAAAGAACGATCCAAATTATAAATAATCATTGTTTTCGAAATGAATTTAACATGATACACAATTACATCGCAATCTATTCTACTTTCCTTTCATAGGGCAAATATGTGTATTAGTATGTGATATCAGTCAAACATATGAATAGTATGTATGCTGTTTCAATGATATGCCACTCTCATAAAATTTCATTTGAAAGATAGCATGTAATAGCTATGGACAACTATCATTTTCTCGACGTCATCATCGTCATTGTAAACCCATTATGCAGAATAAGGAGAAGGTGTTGCAGTTGTTGACAGATTTTTCCAATGAACTTTACATTTCCTTTGTTTATAATAGACTATGCACATCAACAGGGGAGACAGAATTGTTTAATGTTGTTTTACTCATCATCAACGACAAAACGATACAACTTATCATGGTTGCATAGTGGAAACTTATTTTTTTAAATGTGGGTGAGGGTGTATTGGTTATGAAGTGCTTTAAATGTATGTCTTTCTATAAAGACATATCGATTTCAGTGATTACGGCAAGAAAGTTCACTGTTCAAAAGTGTTATATATATATATATATATATATATATATATATATATATATATATATATATATATATATATATATATATATATATATATATATATATATATATATGAAATACACATATTCTTCATATTCTTTGCTTTCATCAACGAAACTATTATCTTAAAAATTACTGAAACCATATTGCAGTCTTTGAAAAATGTTTTTAGTTTTTTTTCGCTTATCGACATCAATATTTTTCAACATGCATCAAATCTATATAAATGTATACTTAACCCGCTTAGAGCCCTTCCGAACCAAACGGGCATTCAATTCCAGGATATATTCCCATGTACACTTATTAGACAAGATGTAAATTAGCCGGCAGTAAAGTGCATTAGTACTTAACTAATGATCTAATACACGGTTTGGCACTTAGGAATAAAGTGCCCGACAAAGCTAATTAAAAGATAGTCTACCCATCTAGCTGACGATTTTTTTTTCCGCCTGCGGGCAAACTGCTGAAACGGTATATGACTCGTAATCGGAGTTTAGTATTAGCAATACCATGTAATTGATGGATTTGCGCTATCTCGACACTACTGTTACTTGAAGAGAATTCTTTTCTTACATGGTCTATGAAATTATATTCACAAATTAGCGATCTTATTTCATTTTTTCATCTAAGCTGTCGCGGAATAGGATGCGTACTATAACGTCGAGAAAATCGCTCATCTACACGGCAAATCTTGAGCTTCCCTTGATCACGCGCAAAGAAAACGCCTAATCATGAACTGTTTTCTATATTACTTAAAAATCCCCTTCACCCTATGTTGTATATCTATAAGAAATGCCGTACGACAAGAAAGTCTGTGTCAACATCACTTTTCATGCATAAAATGGATAAATTAAGCGGCAGAAGAAATTATATATGGCAAATTAATCCGTGATCTCCATGTTATTTGGAGACCATATACGTCATATATATTAGCAATATGTATTGACTGAATAGATGCAAGAAGAACAATAAAGACTTTAAAATGTTACTCATTTTTTAATGAAAATCTTTTCTTGTATTAAGTTTCGAAGTCATCAAAACTAGAAAAGAACAAAAATTATATTCAGCTCGACTTTTAGTATGGTATTTAATCATGTAGGAAATAATGTTTCATCTACGGATGAATACTTTAACATTATTTCTGATTTTATGGCTGTTGCCCGTGTAAGAAATGCACAGGTGTGTTGCCATGATTCTGCAGAGCGCAGAGACTCTAGTGTGATAAATATTGACCTTTTGTGTGATTCACGATCTGCAGGAAATCAATTTAATTGTATTGCTTTACTCTGTCATATCTACAACATTATTTTCCTAAATTTGAAATAGCATGTGTACGGAAGCATAGTCGGGACAAAAGTTAAAAGACAAATTAAAAAAAAAAGGAAAATACGTCATCGCCACCATCGCTACCAAAGACAGCTTTCATGCGGCCAGGACTTAACATCTCGTGGCAACAAGATATTTTTTAACCGATGTCCATTCCATGCTGCTGTATTTGTGCCATGTAAAATGTATCATAAAGCTTTTAAATAATGAATATGCTGAGCGTTATTTTTAAAGTAATGTGTGTGTGTATGTGTGTGTGAGAGAGAAAGAGAGAGAGAGAGAGAGAGAGAGAGAGAGAGAGAGAGAGAGAGAGAGAGAGAGAGAGAGAGAGAGAGAGAGAGAGATTTGGATTTTAAATGTAGCTTTAAAATTGTGTCAGTCATATCACTACATTGTCTGCAGCGTGGCAGTTTATAGTGATGTCTAGCCCAGGACCATTATGTCGCAGACATGTAGCAAGATGTCACACCCATTCCTAAGAAAGAGAGAGAGAGAGAGAGAGAGAGAGAGAGAGAGAGAGAGAGAGAGAGAGAGAGAGAGAGAGAGAGAGAGAGAGAGAGAGAGAGAGAGAGAGAGAGAGAATAATCCAGCTCTTTTTTTATCACAGAGAACATGCAGCTAGTCTTGTATTTGCACGGTCGACACCAATATCTATTTGGGCTCTATACAGCTTCATCTGATGACGACAGTATAGGAATTTATATCTTGACGTCATGAAGATGTTAACGCTGAGGCAAATTGCAGCTGAATATAAACATGGGCTATTGTTCGTGAACGTCGATTGGAGACGGTATAAAGCAACAAAAGTCAATGAAGATGATCACATGAGTCCTGTGACCTGGGATATGCACTTGCAAAGATTTCCAATTTTGAATATTCGTTGAATGTATCTTGACAGGATTCGAACATTGGTCATTATTAATAAATATATTAAATCAATACTGTTTTCGTTCTCTGCTTTGTCCTTCATTGACCCATCACATGAAACTCTATTGAACTAATTGTAAACAGTCATTCAACATTTTAGGGGTATCTAATACATTGTTTTCATGATTCAAACTAAATGTAAAAATGACTAATTCTGTCCATCATATTTGTTAATAAAAACATTATCTTGCAATAAATAAACTACTTCCACCACTATTAACAAAACAACCTCTTTCTTGCC